TCGCTCACCCAACATGCTGGTCACCTCTTTAGCCCTCTCACACAAGGCGACAGACGGTTCTTCAGACTGACACCATCACTCATAACGTGCATCTGCCCCGAAGCATCATCCCACTTCCCATCCACTCCACGCTGAGCCTATACATAGCCTGGCCTGCGCTCGCTTTCCTTAGCTACAAAGGCACTGTAAATAGTCCTGGATGTAATGGCTAGCTTGTTTGTTGTCCATGACATTCAAATATTGACAGTGTTTCAAAGCGTTTTGGTACCTCTGCACGAGATTTGGGTGTAGCGCCGCAAAGAGCGTGCGGTGACAGCTGTAGGAGCGCTTTCAAGAAGTGAGTTCAATCAGGAGCTTTCAACGCAAAGACTCGAGACTTCAGAGGAGGAACAGGACGTCTGACACACACAGAGACAGACAGGGCTGCTGTGTTTCACTGCAGCCTCCCCTCCTGCCAAGGAGCATGACCACACGTGATAAGGACATCACTGTAAACCCAAATGTGAATCACAGTCTTCCACTAAAAGTGTATATCAAATCAAAACACCCGTACGTCTGCAGGTTCACAAACAACAAGTTTCCTATTGAGGATTGGATAGGAAGTAAAAACTTTTGTTTTCATGTTCAGTTGTTGGGCTGCAGATAGTAAGTTCTTCAAAATAGATATCAGATCAAATAAATCTTTCATCATCTCAGAGGAACCTGGAAAATTACAACAAGAAACAGTAAAAAGCAACAACACAGGAAAACAAAGAAACAACAAAAAAAGATGAAAAACTACCAAGGCGAGATATTTTGTATATGATATATATTAAAATGTGTATTTAAAAATGAGAGCCGTGCGGTCTGACATGAGAGTAAACCTGTCAGAAGAGTACAACACGAGCAACATAGATCACAGAGCTGTACTCTAAGTCAGTGCAAGGACAGACATTTAACACAAAGCTGCAAACACGAGTGTTCTGTAATCATTTCCCCAACTTAAATACAGGCCTTCTCCATAAGTGTGTGGCTGGTTGAAGCCAACGCGGCCCGGCCCATCACCAGCCCCAGGGCGGCTCCGCTGTGGCTATCACAGTGGCAAAGGCCGGACAGTTGAGGCGGTTGCCAAGAAGTCTTTTCTTTGAGGGCAACACTTCAGATGGGTGCAGCCATGGAGGAGAGAGAGAGAGAGAGAAAAAAAAACAGACAAAAATATCCAGAAAGTTGGGTCTATAATTGGCTGTGCCTCTCAGCCGTTTTTATGTGTGAGCACAGCCCAGTCGAGAACAGTAGAAGCCACCTCGTCCCCCAGTGAAACCCTACACTTTCTCCCTCTGCAGTTCCCTCCCACTCCGTCCAACACATCCACAAGGTTGCTGAAACTCACCTCAGCTCACTTTTTAACAACACCGAACACTGGATTGTCACCCCTGGATTATATAACAATCTCATCTTGATTTCTGGTGCCTGCAGGGGAGACGCTCTTGGATTATTACCAGCTGATAATGATGCTGCCCCGGTGCTGATTCAGGGTGTGAGAGCTGGAGGCAGAGAGACGGACACCTCCAGCAACGCTGACTGACTGACTGACAGGACAGGTAAGACACAAATACTAAATAAAAAATCATAAAGTCATCCTTCTGTTTTTGCTGTCTTGGTGTAAAAACGAAATTCCAAATATTGATTCTTTAGCAGTTTTAAACTGTTGGCAAGGAGTGCTTTTTTTTCTTCTTCATGTTGTTCAGATGCCCTATCAGAGAACAGACTTCCTCTTTTCTTCTTGGGTTGCACATGGAAAAAAAACACTGTCTGTTTTCTACATTTTGGGAATGATAAACGTGGTGCCTCTGTTATAGACATCTATGTTGCAGTCCCAGGTCTGCCATTGAGAGAGGAAGTGGAAACAGGCCCTGATGATACAGACCTGCACTTTGTAGGGAATCTGGCCTCTGTTTTAGATGCTGACAGACGGCAAACCAGTTTGGTTTTTTTGCTTTACCTCAGATACTGTATCTGCTCGTAAAAAACTGCGGATTAATTCAAAGCAGCGCAGGAAGACGAGTACGTTTAAATGTAATCAGTGGTGAAAGGGAGACAAATTGGAATATGTTAGACTTGTGCAAAGTTGGGTAAAGAGGATTAGGAGCATGAATCCAAATCTTGTTCAGCTGCTTTCGTAGGGCGGTTGAGATTTTTTATTTATTTTTTTTGTCATTGAAGTCTTGCTGGGCTGAATTTCTTAGATTTTAAATACACACTAATTGGGGCAATTAGAGCAATTCAGCTTGCGTGCTTATTCTGCTCATTAATAGCAACAGTGAAACCAAGCAGCAGAAATAGCCCAGCAGAGAATCAGATAAGGAAATTAGTATCTGGAGGCCAAAGCACTTTGCTTCAGCCACAGTAAATAATGCACTCTCTATTTCACAAGCTGCACAGACCAAGCCGCAGACAACAGGCTGCTGTTTTTAAAACTGTGTCCCTCCTTGACATTTCCTGGGTTCACTTTCTGCTTAAATCACTTCGTACTTCAAAATCATGCGTGCATATATTTACTGCAACAAGATTTATTACTCCTTATTTACTCCCCATTCTCCACTAGTAGTCTTTAAAATACATTAAAGGATTACGTTGACATTTTTGGTAATATTTCTTTCTTCTCTGTCATCCCCCCAAAAAAACTCATGTTAGCTTAGTTTAGCATAAATCTGGGAAACAGTTAGGCTCTATCTACCATCACTGACCATACACACACTTATTAACACGTCAATGCATGTTGGTTTATCCATCCATCCATTATCTATAATCCTCACGAGGGTCGTGGGGGGCTGGAGTCTATCCCAGCTGACTCAGGGTGAAGGCAGGAGACACCCTGGACAGGTCACCAGTCTATCACAGGGCTACACTTAGAGACAGACAACCAAGCACACCCACATTCACACCTACGGACAATTTAGAATCACCAATTAACCTCAACATGTTTTTGGACTGTGGGAGGAAGCTGGAGAGAACACGCAAACTCCACGCAGAAAGATCCCGGTGCCCCCACCGGGACGCGAACCGTTGACCTTCCTGCTGCGAGGCAACAGTGCTACCAACTGTGCCACCCTGCAGCCCACAACTAAACATATGAGGAAAAATATTGCACATGTATTGAGGTTAATGATCCAATTTAGAATCACCAATTAACCTCAACATGTTTTTGGACTCCACGCAGAAAGATCCCGGTGCCCCCACCGGGACGCAAACCGGTGACCTTCTTGCTGCGAGGCGCCAGTGCCAACCAACAGCCCCATGTTGGTTTATGAGTAGAAAAATCAAATTGTGATTTTAAGGCTACTACATTCATGATTGGTGCTCCATTCATCCCCTTTATGAAAGCTGTTACTTTAGGGCACATGCTGGAAAAGTCTCCACAGGCGTCCTCACGCTCGCATGTCTTTGGGTCCATAAAACATGTTGGCTGTTGACACTCTGCACACATGAAAGGGATAATGAGAGCGACGTGATTGATTAAATGAATCATGTGGCTGCTTTCGTCTCTTCAGATGTTTTTGATCCACTTGGTTCAAATCCTAATATTAAAAAGAGTAATTTCAAAGAGATTTGGGATGCTAATAATAGTTATAATTAACATTTTACAGCTTTTTTAATGACGGCAATGAGATTTGATTTTTCAAATGTGTCTATTATGCCGAAACAAAACAAGATGGAAAAAAAACTGTGTGCTTTAGATTTTTTTTTAAACCTTAGAAAAGAGCTCCTTCATGCTAAGCTAACAGATGTGAGGTGTCAATCATCTCACATAACTCTTACCAACAGAGTGAATAGAGGTGTTTCCCCAGATATCAAAGCATTGTGTTAAATGTTCCATTAAAGCCCATTTTTGACTCCAGTCTGTAGATTTGGTTAGATTTCACTTCTGGAGAACAAACTGCAATAACAGCATAATTCAGTGGAAACATCAGAGGACAGTGAAGGTGGTGAAGGATGGTCAAACACTCAGCTCCGGAGGTGTTATTGCTTTTCAAGTCGTGCATAACTCAGACTTTTTCCTCAACCTCCCCCAGTGACCACCCCCACCCCCCCACAATGACTTGCTCTTCCAGTCAGGATGAGCACATGTTATGGCTACGGTCAGTCACTCATCAGTCCCAACAGCAGGCATCACAACCGCTGGTGTACAATAAGTGCAAGAATAGTTTTGTGTTTATATGACAGGATTGTGTCAGTGCCACCCAGCAGAACAGCCTCGTAAATGAATCCAGCAAAGACAGACTAATCGGCGCTTTGAAACATGATCAAACCTGCATTTCACTCCAAACGTCAGCTAGAAATACCTGAATCTAAAAATCACTGTGGAGAAGTTAGACAGTGCAACATCAGCAGACTCCTGACGTTGTTCTTTTACTGTCTTGTGGGTGGAGGTGGTGGAAAAAAAATAGTTTGGCAGCAAGTTACAACAATCTTTGGTGAGTCCAGTTTTTTCTGGATGGAGTGTTCACTCTCTGCTGTAGAGAAATGTGTATTTCAGTCTAGGTTTCAATTATCACGTCCTCAGAATGGAGAACATTTCCTGCCAGCTTCCATAAGAAAGAGAGGACAATAGAAATACTGGACAATAGGGGGGATGAAATAGAGAATTTCTTTCCTCGTTGGAGCTCAAGTTTCTTTATACATATAAAGTGGCTAATGCAATTTTAAATCAGCTTTCCAACAGGCCCTTGTCTGAGTAAAGATGTGGCAGCAGCTATTGTAGGAAGCCTGTTTTTCACAGCAATCTTCCAGCACTACAGGAAGTGCTTCATCCATTTTGGTTTCCCAGTTGGAGAGAAATGACTGTTCATGTTTCACTGATGAAAAGGGGGCAAGAGACAGATTTAGACCCCAAAATGTCCTCAAGTTCTGCTGTGCATTTACAAAGTAGGCTAACTAGAGAATTGTTGATGTTTCCACTGACCTTTCCGCAGACTGGACAGCTTGATGGTGGTAATAAGCTAAACAAAACAGACCCAAGCTAAGGCCGAGATGGAATTACGACTGGGATTTAGGATCACCTTGGTCTTGGTCATCCTGGTCTTGACTCTTTCCAGTGAGAGAGTGGACGCTCAGAGGGCAGGTAAGGCCATTAAGACTAAAAGTTTTGACATTTTGAGAGCAGTTGTAGCGCTTTTATTGATTGTCTATCCTCCCGTGTCTGCCTACTCCAGGGTGTAAAAATGTCCATTATGACTTGGCATTTATCCTGGATACCTCATCCAGTGTGGGCAAGGAGAACTTTGAGAAGATTAGACAATGGGTGGCCAACCTGGTGGAGTCCTTCGACGTGGCACCTGACAAGACAAGAGTAGCCGTGGTTCGTTACAGCGACAGACCCACCACCGAGTTCAATCTGGGCCGACACAGGACCCTGGAAGATGTGAAGCGAGCTGCCCGTAACATACGCTACCTGGGGGGGAATACAATGACCGGGGATGCTATCAGCTACACCACCAACAACATCTTTACAGAGCGGAGCGGAGCAAGACCGAACGCCAAAGGCATTCAGAGGGTGGCCATCCTTCTCACAGATGGCCGAAGCCAGGATTATGTTCTGGAGCCCTCTAAGGCAGCTGCCAAAGCTGGCATCAGGATGTTTGCCGTGGGCATCGGGGAAGCTCTGAAGGAGGAGCTGGAGGAGATCGCAGCTGAGCCAAAGAATGCACACGTTTTCCATGTGACGGACTTTAATGCCATTGACAAGATCAGGGGCAGGCTCAGGAGGAGGCTGTGTGAGAGTAAGTCAGCCACCAGGCTCACTGCCAACACATCACTCACACTGCATGCCGCATGGCTTCTTTTTGAAGCCTCGCTTTAAACAACCTGCCTCAGCCTCAATGTGCACTTAATCAAATTAGACTACTATTTTAACCTTAAACCACTACGCGGAGGAAAGACCCTAACCACAAAACCCCACCCCGGCCACAAAGAGCTGCACATGCACACTGCGCTATCCGGGCTTCTTTTGATGGAATATGAAGCGTGTAAGGGGGGCTGTTGCAGAAATTGGCTTGTAAATGACAGTTTACAACCAAGACATATCTGTGGTGTAGCTGCCTTTCTGCTGCTTTGGTGCAGAGGCGTTTAGCACTGGAAAGCCTGTCTTATGCTAACCTCAATGGTTTTTCCACCAGCGTGCAGAGAAAATCTTTCGACACAGGCACACAGGCTTAGAAAGTAGTTCACAGAGAGAAATAAATTAGCTCAAAAATAAACACTTTTGGCAGCGTTGTGTTGTCCAGTAGCTGTGCAGAGGAGTGGGGGAAGTATCTGTGTGCAAGTGTTTTCATGGAGAAGATGGATGCTCTGCGCTCCAACGCTTCAAATTCCTGCCTAAAATTAGCCAGACAGGAAAGAAAAGGATGCCATAAGTCTTAGCCACAAACAATAAATATAAAAAACGGAAATTACATGATTACACGGTTTGCTGAAAGATGTACAGTGACAAAGTCTCAACTCTTACTTTAAGCTTGGCAAGAAAAAAAAAGTGATACCTCTGAAGAAAGTGTTGATTCAGACTGCCTTTATTCTTTTTTGAGAGTGTATCGTCTTGCAAAGGCAGCTCGTAGATTCGTTTTAAAGGCAGCGACCTCTAACCTTGCTCCCTGACTCCATAGATTTTCAATCTGGCAGCCGATAGTGTAGGTTGTATCCTATGAAGCATGCTGCGCTGCAAGTTTGTAGACTTGTGGACTGACCAGAGGCTAATTTTACAATGAAAGAAAACGTTCCAGTGTTTTCTTTCTGTAATCTCCAATCGCCACGAGGGAGTCTCCAAGTATATCAGTGGTCAGCACGACTGAGCGACGCGAGTTATTTTCACCCAGAAAATTATAGCTCTAATGTTTCAAGTGGATCCAGTGCAGCCGCTCAAACCCCCACGTTAAGTGTTTTCACCTTTTAATCTATAGGTTTAAAAATGGACACTATTCATTCTGCGCTGCACTGATTCATTAGAGCATGTGTGGCCTCACCTAAGAATACAAGCTCGTAAGACCACGCAGTTGACCTTACGTGATCCGCATAATGAAGAAGCAGCACCAAGCGTGTGTTTAAAACTGTCGTGATGGTGACAGGGAATGCAAAGTCATAGAAAATATCCTCTGTAGGAGGGTAATGCTCAAAACTTCTGCTGATACTTTGAACCTGTCTGAGACATACATTTGCAAAAGCAGGTTTTACATTGCTTCCAATTTAACTCACAGCCGGATCCCTAAATTATAGCTTTAGGGCCACAAGTGCAGGGAGTAGCTCAGCTATCTAGCATGCTAAGTCTCAGGGCTGTGCAACAACACTGTCTTTAAAAAAAGGGGTGACGCACTTCCATTCATTCACAGAATGGTAATTTTTGGTAAACTCTCTGGCTTTATAAACAATATAGGCCAAATATCTTTTCAGAGATCTTCCATTATCACTTTAAAAAGACTTAAAAGACAGAAGGAAAACAAAAAAAAAAGACTGCTTCGGTCTGACTGCTAAACAAACCAAAGGCAGACACAAACAAAGCAGAATTAGAATTAAAGCGTGAGAAATGGAGATAACAGCACCTCTTCTGGAATGACGAAAAAGTATGCAAATGCTGACAGTTATATTAGCTGCCTGGATTTTCTCATTAGACATGCTGCGGGGTTTGCACGGAGCAGAAAAACAAACCGTGTCAACAGAGCTGTCCTCACAATCCGCGGCACAAAGGTTTGAAGCCTTTCCGATGTGACGATTCCCACAGCTGTGATTTAGGGAAATTTCAGGCTTTGATGGTAGATGTTTGACATACACTTGATCTGTTAGGGAAGTTGGAATCTTTCACGATGATATTTCCGGCCACAGGTGATATGTAGGTCTGGCAGTCCGGGTGCAGACACATTGTTGGGCTAATATTAGATTAAATGTGAAGTTCCTGTGAGCGGATTGATTTCAAACTGATGACAAGACTCTGATTTGCAGTTGTTGCATCTTGTGAAGCGAGTACAAACGATCTCATTCATATTTACCTTGACAATTGTATAAATAATAGCCGATCATAATGAGTTTCAAAGACTGGTAAGTGTAGATTTTCTGATTTGCAGTTGTTGCCTGAAATTTATCTTGAAGCGAGTACAAACGATCTCATTCATATTTACCTTGACAATTGTATAAATAATAGCCGATCATAATGAGTTTCAAAGACTGGTAAGTGTAGATTTCTCTCTGTAGAAGTTAAATTTAGCTTAAGCAAATATACCTGTCTACAGCTTTAGTCAATAGGGATGGAGGATATTGGAGTGTATTCTCACTTAGTTTAAACGCGTCAGTTCACCCAAATGTGAAAAGAAAACACATTTCGTCTCTTATAGTTTTTTGTCATTTAGATAGTTTAGGGGTTTTAGGTTCTTGCCCGAAACATCAAAATTAACAACAACCTCCAAAGCAGCAGCCTATGTGTGTAAAACTAACGGTTTTGCTACAGATTTGGATTGTGCCATGAGGTAGACCTGCCTGTTCTTTTGTTTTATTCTTCTTTGTAGTCCCTGTGTGAAAATCCACCAAATCAATGCATGTTTTTCAGGTGCACCGTCTCTGCATCCTGGGTTTTGCACCACCCAAGATGACCGTCACTGGTTTAAAACAAAACGTTTTTTTTTATCCCCATAGCAGAATGAAAACACGTTGACCACATCTAACGTCTAAAAATAAGTAAATATATCTATATATAGCTATATAATACCCAATAGCTATGGGATATATATAATATAGCTAACCTATCTACAGCTACATCTCTACCCAAATATAAATGTCAGCATGCAAAAATGTTCACAGTAACAACGTTTAACAACAATATTTATCTTGTTAGCTGCTGTGCTAACACTTGCTAATTAACACTAAATATAAAGTCCATCTGAGACTGATGGAGAAGTCATTAGATTGCAGTTTTGCTGCTGCTTGATGGAAAGTGCAAAGACCCTGAGTTGTTACGGTTCCTCCTGCTGGGAACATAAATGCCTGAACATGATTTCATGGCAATCCATCTCGTAGTTGTCGAGACAGTTCACTAAAAAACACATCGCGGTGACGCTTAAGGAAGAGTTAGGTCGTAGAGTCACCGTGATGATTCCCCTGGGCAATGTGAATGTCTGCAATAGTTGTCAAGATATTTCAGCCTGTAGGAAATTATCTGGAGCCGTTGATCACCCAAGAGACCGACATTACCGTAGGATAAGAATTCAGTCTTTCCAGAAACACAGTTTTCCTGATCTGCCTTCAAGATATATACCTTTTTGTAATTTCAGTGAACTAACCCTTTAAAAACATCACTCAAATTAAACCAACATTTACACCCATTAAACTAAACAGTGTCCCTCTCTGCATTCTTTGGTAGGGCAGCTGACATCTTGACACAAATAGAAAATAGCTCCCCTGCCAATAAAAACTCAGGGTGAAGGTGTTGCCTTTCTCACTGTCGTCACCGTCACTGAAATATGTGTGCGTGGAAACACAAAACTGTTTCTGCTTCTCGGGTCTTGCTAGTAGATCCACCTCAGCCCTCGCTCGCCCGTCCTCACGCTTCACCCTGTCAGACATCAGACAGGACAGTCTGTCTGTGCTGCTGCTCATCAGATCACGTATCAGACACAGATCACAGCTTCCTAAAACAAGCCAACTCTTCACAGCTGTGTCACCCGACTCCTCATAAGCTCTCTGATTGACTGCTTCTCCTATTAAAACGGTCATTTCCAAAAGAAATATACAAGGTCACCGTAAAAGTGGTTGAACCTTTCCCTCATTTGTGCTCCCATAAAAACTGCATACTTTGCCTTACAGCGTGTCTAACCGAGCCACTGTCCTCTCTCCTCAGATGTCCTGTGTCCAAACATGAAGATCCAACCTGATCGCTTTAAGCCCAACAGCACCAGTTATGGTCTTGAAGAGGTTCCAGGTATGTGCAAACTGCTGCTTTCTGAACGGCAACATGGAGCCCTGGCAACACTTTGTCAACCACAAAGTCAGTTCTGTATTTTTCAGAACATTTCCGACACTCCCACGTGGAGCTTTTTTTTTTCTACACAAAGACAAAAAGACATTTTCTTATATGCAAAGATTTAAAAGTTTCCACTCACAAAAGAATTGGTTTTGTTCATGTCTTCAAAGGTACTACTTCTCTAGCACATCTTAAAACTCAATATACTTGCAAAAACAACATACTTTGACTTTACATCAAAGCATTTTTGCATAAGAAGATTATATATTTGAGTATGTTAATGTATGTATTTTGTTCTAGGCAGCTGTGAGATTCCATCCAATTCCATAAAACATAAAAATGTGTAGATGTTTCAGACCTGCATGAGTTGTGCAGCAAAATGAAATGTGTACATCATCACAGCAGAAGGAAGTGCTTGACATTTTAGAGATACGCATTTTTGCCGTCTTGCTGAGAGCTAGTCTAGATAGCTTTAGCTACAGTGATATGAAGCGACTGCCAGTAGCTGATAAGCTTAGCTTAGCATAAAGACTACAAACTGTAGTGATGCAGAGCTTTCTACCTGCACACTTCTACCTGCAGTAATGCTACGCTGCTGCCCACAGCCGCTTAGCCTTGTTTTGCATAAAAACTGTTAGCTAGCGTAATGCTAAGCTACTGCCAGCAGACAATTAGTTAGCCTCGCTTACCATAAAACCGGCAAACAGGCAAAAAACGCTCACGTGACTCTGTCTGAACATGACAAAATTGTTCTCCCAGTGCCTCTGAAACTCACTGATTAACAAATTCACCTTTATCTTGTTCATGTACTGAACCTATCCAAGTGAGTTGTTGCTCCCTGCTTCCGTTCTTTATGCTAAGCTAGGCTATCCAGCTTAAAGTGTCGTGTTTGCTGAACAACACTGCTCAGCACTGTTGTAATAAATAGGACCGCTTCCTCAAAATGTCAAACATCTCTTTACGGGAGTAGAAACTTAGCAGAACTGCACGACGACCTTTAAATTCAGCCGTCATATTCAAGATTAGTGGTTAAACTAGCCCCTATATCAAGTGAAGCTCATTACTAGTTCTTTGTCTTTTGATGGTTTTATTTCCTAGATTCCAAACCGCTGTGTTAAAGGTTTTTTTTTCTCTCAGAAGTCTTGAATAGCGTTTATCCAGAGAAGTCGGATGTTGTTATAGGAGCGTCTTTTGGGGGATCTGAGTTCCTGTCTGTCTCCCACCCACATCCATCACACTAAGAGAAAAAACAGATGCGCAGACACAACTCTTTAGACTCCTGCTACGTCCAAGTTCAAGGAAAAGGAGATGTCAGAGCAGTGAAAGCTGTGTTTTACAAATGTTGACTCTTAACACACTCGGCTGGCACAGTGGCATCTAATAAGTCGGTCAGCTGATGGAGGTTTATGACTGCACATTTCTGTGAATGGATGCTCACTGTTTGTTTATTAGCTTTCTTTTTTAGTTCAGATGATCCAAGTAGTTTGCTACAGAGTTGTATTGACTATAAAGAAAACATCACAGGTCATTTAAACTAAAGAATAATTGCTTTTTGAACATTTCAGAAGATCCATCTCTTTATATCGGCTGCAGTATTTTATGTTCAGCGTCGTGATGCTGCTGCAGCACACATGGCGTACGAGTCAGGGAGCACATCGAACAGGTTGTCCAACTATGACAGCTGACACACGTGGACAAACAAACACATCTTTTTTTTATGGGCAATTGAGAGTCTCCAGTTCAGCTAACCTGCATGTCTTTGGGCTGTAGCAGGAAACCAGAGAAGCTGGAGGAAACCCGCACAGACATAACATGCAAACTCCCCACAGAAAGAGCCCAGCTGGCAATGAACTCAAATGCAAGACCTTTATGCTGTCAGGTTACCGTGTTAACTGCTGAGTAGAAGTAAAAAAAGAAAGAAAAAGAGAGTAAATATATTTAGGAAAGGAATTCAAATGTGTGTACATATTTGACGCCATGTTTTTTGTTTTACTGTAGATGTGATGAAAGCACCATCAGATCAGGGATGAAGAGTTTAGAGCTCTTGACCCAACCATCTACTTTTGCTTTATATCTAGTGATGATAGTTTATTTCAAAAAGTGAGTCACACAGGAATGATCTGCTGTATTTATACTGTTATTGAAGGCAATCAGTGGCCAAAAAATCTTTTACTTGCAGTACGGCATCACAGGTAAAAACATTATTTCTTAAATGCGCTGGTCAACTTTGAGATTTTGGACTGTTTTGCTTTCATATCATGTCTTCTTCAGACTAGTGAAAAGAAAACACCCACAATACTACCACCCTTTGTCTCATTAATATGTATTCAAATAATGCCTCATTTGCATATTCAAACATACAATTTTGGAAACTTGATAAAAAAGTAATCCTTCCTAGAAGTGAGGAAGTTTCATATCTACTTATATTTTACCCATAAAAAGGAGTTTCCAACAAAACTAAAGTATAGAATTCGACAATACATTTCTTTAAAGGCCATTTTCTCAAAATGAGTTTTCTCTTTCCTCGGGGTCATGAATCTTCACTTCAGCAGCATTTCCATGCACCAAACTTTCCAGTTTTATTTCCATCTATATTCTGAAGATTTTCACAGTGGAGTTTGTTCAAATATCATATCACAGCCTGATTTATGCAAGACTGTGTTCCTAAAAACATGGCGAAAATGGATTTTTCTTTTTCTTTTTTGACAGTAATGTCTTATTTATGGAGTGATAAAAAGAGAGATATCCAGAGTCACCGCCATAAAATCCTTTGACTGCAACAAAATATCCCAAAAAAATTATAAAAAAATGGCAATATCTAATATTTAGATTTCTGTTCTGAAAAATTAGGACATTTATTTGTATCCAATATGTAGTTTGCATATTTATATAAGTGATCATTGTCTTAATGTAAGTAACACACTGGATATCGTTAGCCTCATAGCATAATTGCCTAAGTCATTTTTTGGTGAAATTGAGATATTTAACTTTACTCTCCTATCACTTCTGCATCATCCTGTCTTTCTACCTGTGTCATTGGCCAATCACATCCCAGCTGACTTAGGGTGAAGGCAGGTTCACCTGGACAGGTAACCAGTCTATCACAGGGCTACACTTAGAGACAGACAACCAAGAACACTCACATTCACACCTACGGACAATTTACAATCACCAATTAACCTCAGTATGGCTGAATGTACTGTTAAAAAAATCAATAATCAATACCAATGTCATTTCTAAAAATTTTGTTTTTTATCATTTCCCAAAAACATGAAAATATGACTTAGGCAAGTATGCTATGAGGCTAACGATAATTTTGATATCTAACAGTTAAGAACATTTTCACCTGCAGTGTCTCCCCTTGAGTGAAAAATGAATTTGCATTCTCATAAGAAGAACATTTGGAGATCTTATATTTAACTTGTGACTTCCCGTCTCATAGCTGCCAGATCGGATCTCAGTAGTACAAGAGAAGATTTTATAATTACAGGATGAAGATCTTGTAAGGTTAAGATGCTATCAGGGGCAGCAATGTCGTCTGATTTAAGGTCACAAACATCAACTTCATTATCAGTATGTGGGTTTTATTCAACTAGATAATTAAAAAACAAAAAGACGTGTTAAAAAATCTGTGGTGTAAACTTCTACAAGAAACAGAAGTTGCTATGGATGTAGTAATATGCACTGCAGACTGCAACATGAGCCTTTATTTGTTTACATAGTGGAGAATGAAATATGTTAATTTCAGAGCAGTTCCCTTCTTACTACACACTATGGGATGTAGCGTTCCACCTCCTACCACATTCGTCTATTTTACATTATCTTGCTATTATGAGTTAAAGTTTCTCAGCAGAATAACCTGATCAATATGCATCATATAATATTATTGGAGGTTTCTATCTGCAGCATTGCACTGATCATACATTCTTTATCTAAAGAGTCTAACTCGGGCAATTAAACACCTCATAGCAAAAATTTTTAAAACTCAGCAACAATCTTGGGAGCAGCCTTTTATTTCAGGGTAGTAAAACAAGGCTAAATGAGCTCAGTTGCACTTGCTACTAGTCAAATCTGATAAAAACACCTTATAAATTTGGATGACTTTGCCCAAAAATAAGGTGTATGATGTGTTTCCGCCCCACAGATCATATTTCTGCTACTCATGAGCACACAGCATCAGTGCAACAGTGAGACCGACTGGATGCTTTGCTGTTATGAAGCAGACGACTGGCTTTTTGGCAGAAGGATTAGGACATGTGTCAAACAACTGCTATCTTTGACTTTGCAGAATTCTCAAATCGATTTCTATTCAGGATTCTTTATGTACAATATTTACCTAAAGACGCATATGATGGATCATAAAAGTGTTTGGCGGTAAAGAAGTGACTTTCCACAATCAGACAGATGGCTTTACATTTTACTGGCATTGTCAGGAGTTGTTTCTCCGAGTGAAAGCAACGTTTTGTTTCAAGCTAAAGACCGTCCTATCAGCAGAGACTCGACAGTGCAGAGTGGAAGAGCGTGTGGTAATGATCAGAGATGACAGCATCACTTTACACTGTCGAGACACATTATCACATCCTCGTCATTGGCCAAGTGCTAATTATGTGGTTTTGCTTTTTCCTCTGAGCCGCAGCAGAAATTAGAACAAACTTTTGATAAATCACCGAGAGCCGCTAAAGTTTTCTTAAGCTAACTTGTTGGATGTGCTGGAAGCACTCAAATTAGAATAAATCCTCTGAGTCGTGTTTTGTTTGTCTTTCGTCTACAGATCTAAAATCTTGGAACAAAGTCTTCCTCCACTGGAACATTATATGAGAAAATCTTTTTTTTTTTTCTTCTTCTGGTAACCAAAGGAGAAGTTATTGTGGAATATAAATATACTGCACCCTGCAATGATTTATAATTCTTTTACATTTAGCACCACAAATGAAATGGCGCTTCCTAAGAGCTAGAAGTCACTATAATCATTTTAAATCCTTAGTTTCTGTCATGATGTTACATTACTAATCTGAAAATGGATCTCTGTACTTTAATGGTTCAGGGACCACCAGGAGTACAGAGGAAGCAGGTCCACACAAAAGGTAGCTTTCATTTATTTTAGATGTTGGCACAGTGAGGACAAAGTGAAAGGGCAATTATTGGTTTTCTCGACCTCCAGTGTAGCGCAGACAGTTGTGTCATAATCAGATGAGTCAAAAGCTGCTGTGGGCAAAATGTTATCAAACGGCGGTCAGAGGTCTGAAGCTCCCTATCATGACAAAAATGTCGGGGGATTTCCAAGCTGCAGCGAGTCTATAACTGTGGCCGAACTTTTACATTGTCAAACTTGCTTGAGTCTTTTCAGTCTGTGGCTAAGCACGCAGAGATTTTCTCTCCATACAGAGCAGGACTAGACAAACAGTATTTATCGTCACTACTCCAGCAGCTCCCACGTAATTACACAACAAACGCTCTGTGTGCTGATGCAGAGAGAGAGAGTGCAGTTCTCTGAGAGAAATGTCAAGACTATTTGCCACTGATTATGATTTGACAGCCAAGAGACCTGCGGTTTGAGTCAGACTTGTATTTATCATGGGCTGTCTAGTCTGACCCCTCGGGGTACTTGAGCACACACATGAGGCTGCACAGCGACTCTTGCAGTTCACTCGCTATCTGCTGCACAAACGTTGCCATCTGCTCCGATCAAAAGAATGCTCTGTGTGTGCATTCGCCTTTCCCAGTCAGTGAACTCATCTGGTTTTCGCCGCAGATCACCCCATTGGTCGCTTTTGGCTGTCCAAAATAACTTTTTGGGTTGATTATACACTATCCGCTGCCAGTCCAAATTACAGCTCTGTGCTCAGATGGCCCCCAAACAGCCACAGAACCGGCGCGGTGAGCGAATGTGCACGATGCGAGCGTGGTGACAGCGAGGACGGAGGCCAGCGGGACTCGCAGCTGCCTGGCTTCCTCGAGCAACTGATAACCAGCAACTTATCCCCTTTTGGTACAGCGAAGCGTTACCGCTGCTCAGAAGACGGAGCCAAAGCAGTGATGTTTTCACTGAGCTGTTCTTTAGCAAAAAAACTTCTTTATGCTATCCGCTTTTCTCACGGTTGCCTAAACTAATGGTCTGATTTAAATCTAGTCTATTAAATGAGATTTCTCACAGTAGATTTCTTTTTAGAATCGGTTGCATGTATGCTGTTTGAGTTTCCAGTTCAGTCTGTTCAGGCTTTCAGGTGCCGTTGGAGAAGACAGCAATATTTAATGGGTTTAACCGACACCATGTCTCTGTGGTTTAGCTCAAAGTCTTGCCACATAGTAAGCATGTGGTAGTGCGATTAAAACCATTCTGATAACACACAGTATGAAGTAACATAAAATAAAAATTAAAGGTCCGACACGCAAATTGCAGTTTAACATTAATCTTAAAGCTTAGCAGCTGTTTTGTGTGTTTGTGACTTTTGCTACAGAGACCAGGCACATAAACTGAGATATAAAACTCTAGTTATTTCCCACATTGCTCCTGTAGCGATGACAGTGTCACACAAACAAATAAAAACTGACAAGACCCGAGACAAATCGATCATTTTGTATTTTGAGCCAAAGCATGAGCAGCACCATCTCCTGGTTAGTTCAGGTAACTGTCACAGATCGAAGTAACAGCATGATAAAAAAGTGCATGATAAATGTCTCCTTCAAGGGTTTTCCTAATGTAGAAACCGGCACAGAGAAACTCTCCACCCTGCTGAGTGTATAAGATAACCTGTCATTCCTAACAGTGCATCTGAGCCACTTCACTGACAGACAAAGTAAGTGTGGTGGATGGCTGAAGGCTGATCCCCTCAGTTATGACCGCTTTTGTTTCTAATGTTATTTTTTGCTCTGTTGCTAATGGCACAGGGGCAGCCTGTGTGTCTAACCACCTGTTTCCAGGCTATTTCTAATGACACCCACTAAGCTTTTGCCAGACTCTCACATTACCACCTTAATGCTCCAGTTTCCTCTTTGAAAGATTAGTGCGCCGGTGTTAATACTCCCACCGGAAACCTTACATTTTGCCGATTTTGTAGCATTACTGAGGCCGTGCAGGAATATGTCGAAGCCGTCCTCATCCTGTTGACTCACTAATGGCACAGTATGCTTTCAGAAGAGCTCAATCCACACAACATAACCACCAGCTTTCAGTGAGAGCTGCTGGACAAACTGGCAGCATCAGTGCTGTACAAGCTCTCATCCTGCTGGCATCGCCATAGCTACAGCACTTGTTTGTTGTACAAGGGAGTGTCCTTTCTAAACCACCTAAATATGGTCTGTGGTTACACCACTTCAAATCACACGCTGCAGGGCAAAGTACACACACGTGCACACACTCCCAGACTCAGGACTTTACCAGCAACAGCAAACCAGTTTTTTTCCTCTGGCAGCAAATCTAACAAATATTTCACCAGCTCAACTAATGGGTCTATTTTCCATTTGTCGAGTAACACAATGATTTTAATTCCTCTCTCCAAAAAGCCACAAACACAGTGGCTGCAGGGTGTGGTGGGAATGACCCAGTTAAACCTCAGTATACCCCGAGAAATCTGACAAAACCATAAGTCAACCTCACGACTGGAGAGCCTGGTGAGCTCATTTATGTGTGTGAGAATGTCTTGAGTCCAACTTGGCTTTTTTTTTATTGTGCTGCTGCAGGGTTCGACCTGATGGAGTACTTCAATGTGAAAGATATTCTGGGAACCAGAGTTGATGAAGGCCAAAGTTCCTACGTTCGTCTTGGCACCATGCCTATTGTGCAGCAGACAGAGTAAGTGACTCGCCCATCACGCTGCAAACAGTTCGGTACACGACACATTTTCATCCAAATGTTTGTGAAGATGAAACTTGAAGCCGGGGTTTGACTGACCTTGTGAAGAGAAAAAAAATTGCTGCTGTACACCTTTTGACCACCGACCAACCTCCCACTGTGAATATTTTGTCGTGTTGCTTAGACAGCACTGCTTAGTTTTATGTTACAGTTGTTTTCCAGTGCTTTGACACAGAAATATTTAAAAAAGGAATATTAATGAAAGAAGCACAATGTTCTCTACAATTATAATAAGAATTAAATCAGACTTCTCTAAAAAAAAAAAAAAATTGCTATCAGTCAAAATACGAAAAAGTCCATCTGATGGTTTTTTTTTGCTGATGTTGAGGCTTGGGATATTAATGCCACTCTTAGCTTAGCACAATAACTGAAAACAAGGGCGAGCGTGGCTCAACTTGATGATACAGATTGAACAACATCACTCCACAGCTCATGAATTAACACTCTACAACAGGGGTGTCCAATCCTGGTCCTGGAGGGCCGCAATCCTGCATGTTCTAGATGTGTCCCTCTTCCAACATACCTGGTTCAAATGATCAGCTCATCATCAAGCTCTGCAGAAGCCTGATAACGATCCTGATCATTTGATTCAGGTGTGTTGGAAGAAGGGAAACATCTAAAACATGGAGGATTGCGGCCCTCGAGGACCGGAGTTCGACACCCCTGCTCTACAAAGAAACATAGAACCAGAAGTTTTTATTTTTATGTTTCTTTGCTGCAGCAGGAGGCAGATTTTATTACTTGTGTACACTGTTCCATCCATTTTCAGTCTTTATGCTAAGCTAAGCTAACTGGCTGTAGCTTTATAATACAGAAGACAGACACGCATAGGTGTGGATTACTCATAGATGCATACAGATGAATACAGATGTGTACAGAGAAGACACACATTTTCTATAATGCAGGAAATACAGTGTTTGGTACTTATTTTCTCATCTGTCAGTGAGTAAGGAAATAACTGAAATTATTCTAAACTATCTTTGTTAGAAAAGAACAAAAATCAGACACAAAAAATTACATTTAAATGTAAAAATTAGCACGTTCTCCCAATAGGCTGTAAACTAATTTAAAAAAAAAGTTCACACACAAAAAACACACATACTTAGTTATTATGAGTTTATTGTTCAAACACATAACTCACTAGATTTAGAAATAATATACACAAAACATGGTAAATATGTGTCTTGTGAGTACAACAGCAATTTAGAAAACAATGTCCAATAGATTTATTGTCCTTCAACCTCTTCTTGAAAATTAAAAAATCTGAATAATGCAGCGTCACTCTGCTCAGGAAAGCAGGAATAGTATAAACAGACTGGTTGTCAGGTGAAGCATGAACACAATTCAGGGTGTATACATTAATATTTAAACTGTTCTGCGGTCACTGTGTTTTCATTATAAAACAAGACAATAACGATGTACTTTTGTTCCGCAGAGATGTGTTTCCTCAGGGGTTGCCAGATGAATATGCCTTTGTGACGACGTTCAAATTCAGGAAAACCTCGAGACGTGAAGATTGGTACCTCTGGCAGGTTTTCGACAAATATGGGATCCCACAGGTGGGTCGGCCAAATGTAAAGAGTAATAAATGTGACCTGATGTGGCGAATCACAAGCTGGAATACGTTCAGTTCATTTGCTATTCAGTTCCTTTTTGAATTATTGAGTGTCAAAAAAAAAGAATTCCAGACTTCTTTGGTGCTGTCTTTTTAAATGGACTCTCAGTATTTAGTAATGTAACATGTTCTATCACCGTCTTAGTCATTAATAATGACTTGATGTGAAAGCATGTCGTCATTGTTCTGTTGTTGTATGCACCTCAAACCTTAATCAAAAGCAGAGATTTAAGACTAAATAACTAAACGTTGCACCATGATTTGGCCTCTGACTTGTCAGGTGTCCATCCGTCTGGATGGTGAGAACAAAGCGGTGGAGTACAACGCTGTCGGCCTGACAAAGGATGCCGTCAGAGCTGTGTTCAAGAACCCTGAAGTCGAAAACCTGTTTGACCGCAACTGGCACAAGATTGCCCTCAGCGTGGAGGCCAAGGCTGTGGCTCTGTACCTGGACTGCAAACACATCGCGACCCTGCCCATTGAAGACAGAGAGGACATCGACATCCAGGGGAAGACGGTGATCGGCAAGAGGCTGTATGACAGCGTGCCGATTGACGTGAGTCTTCACCTCAGCTCTGTCGACATGGCAGTTCATGTAAGGCAAAGTTCTCGGGGTTGATCTGTTTGTCCATCGTCTGTTCATGCAGTTCGACCTCCAGAGGATGATGATTTACTGTGATTCCAAGCATGCAGAGCTGGAAACCTGCTGTGATCTGCCCAATGGGCCGGTGAGTATTACAGGCCGTAGACCTACAATCTGTACCTTTGGAAGCGTGTACTTTAGAGGCTGCTGTGCCACAAACCTCCTGCCACATCTACAACAAACATGGAAATTCATGGGTGTCTAACATATCAATGGATAGTAATTAAGTAATTTACATAAGAGAGATGCATGAAAAAGATCTGAAAGTTTTTAGTGTGCAAAGGATCCAAATAAGCAAATTAATTTCTAATTGTAGGTTGCTTTAAGATGGAAAAATGTCTTGTTGTCTCTCGCTGGTCTCTAATTTGAGTCACTTTCATATTTAGCTTGAAAACACACGACAAGGTTAACATTTGGTTTTTCGCTTCGTAAGCTAAAAAGCTGCCAAGCTAATTTTGCAGTGTGACACAGGACTACTGCAGGCTACAATAGCAATGCTGGTCAGATGTGCTCGTGCCTCTGAAGAGTTTTGACATTTTAGGAAACGTTCCAGCAGAGGAGAGTGGGTTTCCTGCAGCCTTCACGGTAATGACAAGATTACAGATAGACACCGTTCATCAAGAGTGGTTACAGCATGTAAACGGCAGTAAAACCACAACTCACCAGCTTCTTATTTCTGTTTGCTTACAACTGAACAAATCAGATACAGCTGCTGTAGAGAGATCCAATATTCTCTCAAAAGCTGAGGTTTGTAGACATATTTTTTGAACTGTGGACAAAGCTGAGCGAGCTGTAAATGACCTCCTCGTTCACTTGACTCAACAGTGAGCAGTAAATTTAGATTTCAGACACTTATGATTGTCATTTTGCATCATTAACATCAGCAGTAGTCATTTTGGTATCTATCGACCTTATGTGACCCCATTTGATTTCTGGTTTTGGCTTTTGACGTCAAACTCAAGTTAAAAATCTTCCTGCAAAATCGACGACAGATGGAAACATCTCCATATTCATGACACAATCCCATCCAATGCAGATATTAAATTAAAGAAAGACCATCTTACGTGTCCATGTAGGCAAGAACTGTTCCTGTAGAATCTCCTTAATAGCTGATTTTGTTTTGTCTTGTGTTGTTGCTAACATTACCATCTTTAAAGTAGAATTCAGCATGTAGGCAAATGTGACAAATAGCTTTATTTCAGGCTAAAGTTATATATCCAGCAACAACTTTGCTTTTTTATTTTCCAAATTAACTTCAAAGCTGTTGAATGCGACACAAAAATAGAAACGAAGCCTGAAGGGCCATTTTTAGGTCTGTTTCTCTAAACACCACCTTGCACCTGCCTGGAAGCCACCTTATGTTGCCTATAGGGTTTGCTAGCTTTATCTACAAAGCTGTAGCCCTCATGCAAAGCTAAATTATTGGACTCCTGTATCCAGCTAATGAACACCGATATGAGAGTGGTATCAGTCTTTGTATATGAAAGTGTAGAGAACACAAACAACTTTCTTCAAACAGCAAACAAGAAGGGTAAAGTTGTGCAACGTCACCAGAACACTATAACTGTCAAGTTTAGTAGTTTAATGCTCATAAGCCACTCCTGCCATGTCACGGATTGGGTTCAGAGACTCAAGTGCAGACAAAGACATGGTAACCCAAACCTATAAAATAATGGAGCGAGTGGTCATGTGGGGATTTACCAAACAATTCAAAATACAAAAATTAGGCTTTACAAATCTGAACATGCAGAGATAACCAATCTACTGACGCAGGTCAAAACACCAACCAGGACTTGGTATAACCAAGCTAGGGAAGTGGATACAAGATATATTACAATTAACAAAGCTAAAAAGAGTAATATGAATGTGGATCTGTAGAAACCGGTCAGAGGGTCTTGCCAGGGAGGATGCGAGGGGGGACAAGATTGGAGGTGGGTGATGGACTGGAGACATGAACCGGGTACGATGGAGCACCAGAGAGGAATAACAGGGTTAGAATCTGGAAACAGAAGCTGAAGCCAGGGAACAACTAGCATTTCGTAGTTTGTGGTTTGAGCGTGGATTTTATTGCAGAGGGTGATGAGTTACAGGTGGACCACTCACTTAGGTGATTTTCCAACTGCCCATTGCCACGTCTTGGTCACGCCCACCTGGGAAAAAAAAGGAAAGAAGGACAGGAAGGGAAAAGGAAAAGACTGCCGCTGAGCAGAGTTAGAGGTGGAGGACATGACAGGTTAATTCATTCACACCACCATGCTGCAGTGTTTTAAAATAAATTGTATGGTTTCAGTGCCCCAAGAAAGTTGTGACCGAGGCTCCCCCTGTGGCGATCCCAACTCCAACACCCACCGTTGTGGAGCAACAAAGAGGCCCTCAAGTGAACTGCTCCTGCCCTGCAGGAGACAAGGTAAAGCCACCTGATTTTACCACACTTTATCCCATCTATTATTTTCACGGATGAGTGGGAATCCAATGTATGATGTCTTTCAAAAGACAACTGTATTTTTATTTCTCGCAGGGAGACACCGGTGCACAGGGTGTTGCAGGTCCTAAGGGTGAAAAGGTCATCTACCATTGCCTTTCAGCACCGATTTGTGTGCGACAAAACATTACCGTTTCCTAATGTTTGTTCGATGTTTTCACTGTGCGAACATGCTTCCTTTTTCAGGGTGACACTGGCCCTAAGGGTGCCATCGGACCATCTGGCGTCAAAGGAGAAAAAGGAGAAACTGTATGAGCATCAAAGTGTTCACATTCACACATGAATTTTGGTTCTAATGTCGTGAAAAGAGCTGATAAGATAACACCTGTAATAAATTTCACTTAATCGTGCAATCATTAATTTCAAGCTTTTTGGTAAATACGCTGTAAAAACGATCTGAGGTTTTTCACGCTTCATGCCTTCCAGCTGTTCTGCTTTTCTTTCTGCCTCGATAATAATTGATCCTTATCGATTAATTATTTGCAGGGCAAAGTAATCTCTGTCAAAGGTGACAGAGGTGTGAAGGTAAGTAGAATTACCCTCCGCTACTCTGCATGAGCATCATCTTAACCCAAATACATGTTTGTCTGCGTACTGTGCATATGTTATATGCATGTGGACAAAACATTGCATTCTGTCTTTCTCTCTTGCGCTTTAAATTGATCTTATTTCAATATTTCACCTGTTTGTTGCAAGGGAGTGTCTAGGGAAATGCTCGTACAGCTGTTTTTGTCAGAATTACAAGGCAGGTTACCACAGAGGATGTGTAGCAGAGAGGGCAGTCCTGCGCAGACGCCCACCCAGTCTGCTCAAATCACAGCCTCCGTGCTGCCTGCCAGTGCCAGCCCAGAGTCTCACAGTATAATTTATTCGCTGAGACTAACTCCTCTGCATACATCATTCTTGCTGTCCTGAGAGGGACACTTAAAAGGGCCACAAGAGGTCTGGAAGACGGGAAATGGTCTTCTAACTTGTGTTATGTGCTCTGGTTGTGATAGTTTTGAGAATGTGCCTGTGAATTCTTTGGGATAATATAGGTGCACTGCAGGGCGCTTTCTTATTTTAACATTAGCAATGCAGTCAGACAGCCGAGCTCATTTCAGGATAAATATATTTTCATTCTAAAGTTCTTACTGCTGGAATAAACTTGCTAGTTTGATAAAAGTGCATTAAATCATACTTTAATGCACAGCATCCCTGTTGCTTTTCTATTTCTTACTTTCTGCGTGAGCATCTGTCTTCACTTTCTCCCGGGGAAGGCTGCAATTTTCTGTTGTAAACTTTTCTAAACCTGATGCAAACACATGACGCAAGCCGACATCAAGCTGTGGTTAAAAATGGCTACGGTGGTCATCGAATCACAAGGGGGAGAAAGTGAATTCATCCCGGTTTGATTGCTTCTAATTGCATCTTTAACTGACTAGAACAGGCAATTCCCCGCGTAGCAGTGTTGTTATAGATAATGTCTTCTTCGTTAAAGTGCACAGCGGAGCAGGGGCCCGCGCTCCTAATCTCTGTGATGAAAGAAATGACGTGTGTTAATGTGATATAAGCCTAAAATAATTAAAGGGCAACCGTCTGTGACTTGTAAAGTGGTTTATGAAGCAGAGGGAAGTCTTGCGGTGGGCAAGAGTTCGTGGTACTGTGTAATTTAACAGCCATTACTTTTCATTCAGTCCAGCTTTTTAAATTCCACGGGAATCTTTTGGCACAGAAGATGACATCAGTGTACAAACCAAAAGTGCAACACTCAGAGACAATGGAAAGCCATTGTTCCTTGAGTCTTTGGCTGATGTGTGCGACCATAGTGGGTCTTGGTGAGACTGTATAATGTGGCTCCGAAGTCTGTACTCAAAAGTTTGTTTATCCTGCTTCGTGCGACTCTTTGTGTTCACTGTGTAGCTGTCACTCGTTATTTATGTGTGTTGCTGTGTTCTCCACCGTTTAATTATTCACTCGCTAACATTTGTACACTGTTCTTTATTAATCATCCAGCCACCGTGTACTAAACCATGTTCTGTGATTTTCTGACAGCACGCCATCGTCCACTGTACCGGCCGACCTGCATGCTTTCGTACGACAGAGCTCTCCGACTAAACACTTATTTTCTATTTACAGGGTGATACAGGCAGCATAGGGTTGTCAGGTGCTCCTGGGCAAAAAGGAGAGAAGGTGTGAACCCGGAGACGTGGAGACCTTTTCTTTTAAATCTTAAATCTTAAGAGGTCACATGCGGGTATTAATTATGTGTTTCTACTCATCTGACAGGGACTTGGTGGCGTGCCAGGTATTGACGGTTTATCCGGCGACAAAGGGGACAAAGTAAGATTTTTATATTTCAGTCTGAAACACTGGCTGTGCAGCAGTTGAAGACGTGTGCAAAAATGGATGTTTTTTTTTCTTGTAATTAGGGTGCAGAAGGACGGGCTGGTGAACCGGGGCTTCCAGGGCTCGCTGGATCAAAGGTGGGTGAATGTGGCGTTGCAGTTTTTAATCCATTTACGAGTCATTGCACATGCATCTGGCTCAGTGACGAAGGGTTTTAAAATACATTTCAGGCACTAAGAAAGAATATCTTTAGTTATTCTGTTTTTGGCACTGCTCTGAGAGACGCACTTGTTCTGTTAAGTGGGCGTACATGCGTTTTTCTGGACAATTACTTCCCAGACTGGTATTGATTTCCTGTGAAAAGGGGAGGAGGGGGCAGTTAGGCTGATTTTCCCTTGGATGATGAAGGGGCAGCTGGTGGGAGAACGAGGAGGGGAAAGAGAGAGAGAGGGTTCCTGGCTCAGGATGGACCAATGGACTGTGACGAGCTTCCCGACCCGAAACTGGAGGGGAAGGTTGCCTCTTTGTGATAGAACATAGAAAATACTAAATCAGTGAAATGGCTCAGAGTAAAACATGTAGATGCATATGAATGACAAAAAGAAAACAGAGATGACCCCCCCTTATGTACAGTTGTATTACTGTTTAGGTCTTAAATTGGCAGCACATAAAAATAAATAAATAAAATAACTGAAATATAATATATAATAATAATATATTCCCCAGGGACTTTAGGATTCTTTAGAGCAGGGGTGTCAAACTCATTTTCATCCCGGGTCAAGAAGTATTAGAATTAAATATTCCCCTTTATCTGCTCGCGTATCATTTGTTACTCTTAGTAATGCTGTTTCAGTACTGTTTGTGGAAGCCAGATTGGAATTTGTCAAAGACATCGTTTCCTTCTAGTAGTTGAAGGAGCTGGTCAAAGACAGATTTTTCAAGAATCTTTGAAATGAAGGGGAGTTTAGAGATCGGTCTATAATTTGCTATTTCTGTATTGTCTAGGGAGGGTTTTTTCAGCAAAGGGAAGACGCTGGCTACCTTGAAATTTTCTGGTACACAGCCAGAAGAGAGAGAGATTGATTAATGATAGAGGACAGGGAAATGACTGGTAAAACCTTTTTTAGAAATTTTGTCCGAATAATGTCAGTAGGGCAGGAAGACGAATGCAGATGGGAGACTACATCACAGAACTCCTGCACTGAAATGGGGTTAAAATCTGACAGGAGAACAGTACAGTAAGTAACCTGTATAGGCAGAAAACAACATATTTTTTGTAATTAACCTGGTCGAAAGCATTAAATGAACAGGAGCTTTTTCAGTAACACAGCCTTTATATCTTTAAATTCGGTCCACTGTATAAGATGCTAACAGCTTGCAGGTAAACAATACACTCCACCATCTCTCTTGATTTTCCTACTTTGACAAAATGATGAAAAAAAAAGAACCCAATGTTATTGTGACGCAAAGATTCCACTATAAACTGTTGGAAATGCAGGCCGCTGACAATGTGGCTCAGCGGTTCCAGACCTGAGTTGGTTCTAAACAGATATTTCTGGTTGAAAAATAATAAATGTGTTGTTTTATTTAGAATGGACAACTTTTAGCACATAACCTAAATTAGAAAGTGTCCTTACTGTTAAATATCTGGAGACACAGTTCTGTCTTTTCATTGCCAAGAAAAGAATGAAAGTGAGGGCAGAGGTCGGAGTTCAAGGTTCTCCCACAGGGTGGTCTCATCACCGACAGCTGCTGTTTCTCTTTTGAGGGCTTCTGGTTTGTTTGTCGGTCAGTTGCATTTCTTACATTGATTCAGCTCTGACTCAGCAGTCCCCAGTTGGTCGTCGGTGCACTTATTGAGTCAGCAATGAAGAACCCAGTCGATAACGCCCACTCATACGGAAACTGTTAATTTTGTATTATACAGGGAATTCAGGGAGACGCAGGGATTCCTGGCTCACCTGGACCAAAAGGTGTCACCGTGAGTATAACCTGAACAAACAATCAGTAAACAAGTGATGATGATGATAATACTTTGGAGCATATATGTATAATGTTGTTTTGTTGTAGGGCGATGCGGGTATAAAAGGTGAAAGAGGATCCCCAGGAGCCAGGGTAAGTTCTACTGTACTCTTGTTTCAACAAATAAAATAATGATGTCTAAAACAGTTGCTTCATTTTCCACACACTTCCACGTATTCCTGCTTGGGGGGCTGCCTGCTACAACCATTAGTCTTCTGACCACACTGGTGCAGATATGTGCTCGGCATTTTGCTCAACAGCACTTGATCAAAACAGTTGCTGCTGAATGACGACAGGGAGTCACTCATTTACTTACGCTGTCCGTGTTTTCCCAGCGTGTCCGGGGACTTGAACCGTGATCCTAGGTTGAACCTGTAAAGTGCAGACCTTATGCTGCAAATCCTGTCGACAGAGTTAACTTCTGAGAAAGAGAGAGCGTTCTTCTCAGAGGACCTGAGAACTGCGGGGTGTAATTGTGCAAACAGATGTGGCTTCCTTGATTCACTCTCCACTCTTCCTGTCTGGAATTCTGTGGGGGCGTTCGGGGCTATAATGCAGCTCATTCAGGCCTGCCGAAGCTTTGTTGATGTCTGAAGTTTCCTCTGTCTGAGTTGCTAACACTTTACCTCATCTGCCATCACAATGATGTTAGCATGCAAGTCAGTACTTCTAATAATTCACTCAACGACTACCTTCACTGCCTTCCCAACTCTGGCCGTATCGTGATGCTTCCTGTATGAAGATGTTATTGTAGTCGATATTTCATTTGTTTTAAATAGCACAATGAGAAAAACCAGGACAAACTGAGCCAATTTACTTTTGTATCATGCCGAGAGGTCAAGTTAGAAGACTTGAACAGGTGGTTTGTATGAGGCACTAAACATGGAATCAGTACATTGATTGCTTTGCCATATGGCACGAGGATGTGTAGCAGGTCCTGAGAACTGTGTAGCTCCATTCAGATATGCTGATGCCAGCTTTAGAGCTGTCCGTCAGCCAGTCAGTCACTCGGCAAGCAATTTCCTGTAGGTGGAAAAGTACTTGTCTCCGTTAAGCGATAAAGGGAATAGGTGGTGTAAGAGGCACAAGGGGTCTAAGTCAGGGCAGCGTTTGCTGACTAAAAAAGTCAAAGATGTGTTTTGGGTCACACAGTTCTGTTCACTGCTTGAAATGACTCACTTTATTTGGCATGCTAGCCAGCATGGGCTGGTTGGTTGGTTGGTTTAGACTGAACTATATATAACACCATGAAATTTAGTACAGATGTCCACCAAGCCAATGGATGAATCCTAATAACTTTGGTGAACCCATGACTTTCCCTCCAGAATCGCCGTGTCAGTTTGTGAGGGAAACTCCTTGACAACTCTTAGATGGATTGCCTTGAAATTTGGTTGAGATATTCATGTTTTCCTCTGAATGGACAGATATAGTGCTACATTGTTGGTTATTTTTTTCCACTAAAACATCTTTGTTGCTGTTCTAAAAAACTCTAAGGGGCAAAAGTTGAGTGAAGATGGAGTGTAGACAAATGAAAGCTGTTTTTTTTAAAGTTTGAAAATATATTTTACCAATAATTCATTGTAAATAAGTCCAACTTACAAGAATCATAAGACACTAACATATAAGGATGTCTAACTGTACTCTGACCATTAGTTACATTTAAGCCACACTCAAAGTCTACTTTTTTAACTGGATCAGTATTACAGCGCGGCTATTAGTAGCATGTTAGCATGCTAATGTTAGCATTTAGGTCAAAGCAGTTCTATCACTGCTAGCATGATGTTATTTTTCATTTTACTTATACCTTTGCTCCAAGCAATCACAGTGATACCTAGAGTTCACTACTGAGAGATCTTTTTCCTCCATTTTTCTATAGATCAGGTTTCCTTTCTTTATAGATATGCTGCGATAATAGTTGTCGCATCACATGCTACGCAAAACTCTATCTTTTTGCAGATTTTCAGAAGTTCAATTAATTTTCATCCTACATTATTTAAACTTGACTGTTGTCTTCCACTGTTAGAAAAATGTGATGCAACTCTTTCCACATCTTTTTTTCCATATTAGGGTGAGGCAGGAGTGGATGGGTTTCCTGGAAAACCTGGCGTTCCCGGGAAAGACGTGAGTCGTTTGAGATTCTGTCGTTACAAACATGCATCAGTATTTATCCGTCACACACCTTTGTATTAATCAAACTGTTGTCTACACATGATTAGGGTTTGAGAGGACTGGCTGGAGCACCTGGGCCCAATGGAGTTAGAGGTGACAAGGTATGTCCACCCTGTCGCTGTTCACCTGATTAGGAACAACTCGTATGATGTTATTAAGCTGCGCTGATATAAATCTTTTTAACGACGTATCATCTGAACTGTCTGAGGCTACTGTCTGCCTTCTCCAGACATTCCTCCGTCTCCTCTGTGCACCATCAAAGTCAGCAGACTCATTTGTCTGAGAAAATAAAATGCGGAGTTCATTTGTCTGTCTGTAATTACCGACTTAGCGGACGCACACATGCTCACACCACACCCATACGCATGCACACAGATGCACACGCACACACACAAAAAGCACAAAGAGCTGTTGTGGTGCTCTGCCACTAGTTTCACTTTCCTTCAGCCGACAATAAGTGCACACTTTAACATGACTCATCTCATAAATTACGGTCGTAGCTGTGTCATTACCATATCGCTTAGGGGGCTTTACTCTGAAAGTCTCTTGATTCTAATGACGGGGTGTTTATCCTTGATGTGTGAACTGTGTCACAGGGGGAGAGAGGCCTTCCCGGATTACCTGGGGATGTGGTAAGTACCAAAAATACATCAAAAGGATAGAAGAAATATGTTTTTTAAGAATTATAGACTTGGGTAGAGGTAAAGAACACAGCGGAGTTTAAAAGATGAAACAAAAACAAACATGTAATTAAAGTTCATATTTTACATTTTAGCTCAATTTTTATGATTATTGCTGAAGACGTACAGGTCGTCACGGCCCAGAGTGACCTACTGACCTTGTTTTGTGCTGGAGGGGGGCGCTGTTGTGCAGGCAGAAGTTAAATCACTGTGTCTATTTGTGAAGTATTACAACAGCTACAACGGAAAAGAGATATTTTAATTCATAACTGGTTATTTTAGTCATTATTCAAGCAAAAATAAGATTTATTTTTCTTAAAGTGTGAACATATTGATGCTATTCTCTGTCATATGTGATAGTAAATTGTATTTCCCTTTGCTTCTATAATACAAGCTCTTCTAATGTCTCCCATTGGGATGGAGAACATATTTATGTGCATTTTTGACAGCGAGCAGAACAACTGATAATAAAAACTTTTGTTAGTCGCAGCCTTTTGACCGACAGAAGAACACGTTCTTCCAGGATAATCATTTTCCTCAGCAGCACAAAAAAACATTGAATAAAGTGACAGAGAAGGGAACATTATCTCTTCTGCATGACACCACAGAACTTTTAGGGTGATAAATGTGGTATAAAACACCTTTATTAGATTAGTATGAATAAAAGTTGCTTTATTCCATCACAGTAGTTACCACAACGAATGTGACACTTGACAATATTATGCAACTGTTTATTCAATGTTTTGATTTCAGGTACAAAAAGAAGGCTTACGAGGTGAAAAGGTGAGTAATGTTTCAACAGTAAACTCCTTTATCACATTTATTGATAACTAGATTTATTTATAATGAAGTATATAGTAATCAACCGCTGTGTATAAGGACTTGAGATGCCACCATGAAAAATACAGTAATCAATATATATTAAAAATAAAGAATAATGAAATGAAATGAAATGAAACGAAATGAAAAATACTTTATTTATCCCTGAAGGGAAATTCAATAATAATAATTGAATCATATGGATGTATAGTATAGAAATATAATATTATTTTGGTGTATTGCTTTTGAGGAAAACACAAAAATAACATGTTGTGTACAAGTTCACAATGTAAAACCGTCTCAAATGGCACTAGCCGTAAATCATTTTAATTTGCTCAACTTGTAAAAAAAAAAGTTCCTCTGTTGCTTTAACCCTGTTGAGGACTTTCATGTTGCCAGAAGGTCTTTCAGGGTTCATTGGACCCCAAGAAAGAACGTATGCAAAATATTTGTTGGTATTCGTTATAAACTTTTATATTATGTTAAACACATTTTCTGATAAGTTGATGTATTTTTGGTTCCAAATGCATGATAAAGGTCCCTCGTTTTATATTAAAAAAACAAAACAAAACAAAACAAAACAAAAAACAATACCTGTCATCTAAACCAAATGGCCAAAAGACCCCAAAAGTCCTGAACAGGGTTAGAAATGTGACTTAACTGCACTTTGCTGGCGAAATAAGCTAAAAATCATTTTAATTGCTGAAATTGTACAACTGATCCAGTCGACTGAATTTGAGAAAACAAGTTCACTGACAAGATGAAGTGGTTTTAGCTACTTAATCACACGAACTTTTAAAGAGTTCAGTTAAGGAGGAGAACTTGAGCTACAGCTGCTGAAACAGTTTGATGTTGAGTCAATCCAAAGACAACATGTGAGGCTGCTTGCAGTGATTTTGATGAATTATATGTGGAACTGAGCTCATCTTTGTTAGAATAGTTTTCGTTGGTATGAAAAGAAACAACCATGACTTCATTTAACACGCATCAAAGACACACAACGGTTTCCAAGAAGAGTCTCTGGGTAGTTTTAACTTTCTAACCTTTTGTTCTGGAAGTTTGCAGCGTGCGACCTTTTGTTTTTTATCCACTTACCTGGATGAGTTGAGTGAGTTCATTCATTCAACTCCTGACTTCAATGCAAAGCAGCTCAAGTCAGGAGAACTCATGACAACACAACTGGACATTTTAGGTTGATTTAAGTGGAAATTAAAACTTCAGCTGGAAGTTTTTATTCGTTGATTCTACTAAATTCCTGTACGATACCAGATAGTGCATGATTGTTTTGTCTGTATATTGATATGTTTAATACATATCATCTGGTTGACCTGTTTCAGGGAGATGCTGGACCTCCTGGGCCTCCAGGGGCTGAAGGCCCCCAAGGGCCTGCTGTAAGGATTTATTGCTTCCTTCCTATGTTTCCTTTTGATATTGTGTTGCTGTAGAAAAGCCACCTGTTTGGATGTTACGCTGAGCAGTCCGTGGATTCTTTCTGATTATGATGGTTTAATTCCTCAGGGTCCTCCCGGTCTACAGGGGCTGCCTGGTGAACCTGGAGAGTTTGGCCAGAGGGTAAGAATCTTATTTTGATGTTCCTGTGATTGTATGCTGAAAAAAAAGTCCTGTTAATTGTTATACTTGCACACATTAAGTGGTATTTTCATGTTGTTTCTGCGTTGACCAGCCTGTCTATGCCTCTGGTTACATCTTGTGGGATGTGTACTGGCATGGCTGGTCTTACTGGTTGCCATGTGACATTTATGGGATGGTTGCACCAGTCAAACATAAATCACAACCACATATTTCTGTTCTTGTTCTCTTTAACCATGCACATTGCATTCACAACTTTAGAGCTTCATGCTGACTGATTAAATAATGGTGGTTTAAACTTTAAAGCCATGTACTGAGCGCCTGTGTGTTGAGGTCAGGTTAAACAAGAGTTTAATTATGATCATCATGCAGACAGGATATAGAAAACCTGACAGCCTGCAAGCCACAGCTTAGGGCAAGAAGGTTTCCTGGTTTTGCAGGTACATTAGTGTCCTCCTGTCTTTTGTCTTTATAGAAGCGTTCACTATCGCAACACACTGAAGAACACAAAAACTAAATATTTCCTCACCTCAACATTAAAGGTGAATCGTCTTGAGTGTTTCTTTGCAAGAAGCACAACATTATTTTAAGACCAAAGACTATTCATGCGTTCACTACGTTTTAATCGCAAAACAATAATAATAAGAAAAAAAAGTGTCTGCTGACTAAAATGCGATTATTGTGCCTCCAGAGAAGCTTTAGTAGAACAAAACTCTGATGTGCAGTAATTGGGTTTATACTAGTCCCAGAGCTGCAATTATCATATTCCAGCTAGATTTTTTTTTTTCGAAGCTAAAAAACTGATATTTATTCTTCATGCTAATCAGATCTGATACCGTAGCTGTTATCAGCGCTTTGTAGAATTATCTACAAAAACTGTCCCTTGTTCCTCATATTCTCTTCCCTCCGTCTCTCTCTACGCGGCTCCCATTACACAGCAGCGTGTAATTAAAACAGACGCAGTGATTCTACATAATTTGTTCCTCCAAAACATTAACAAAGATAGTGACCTCCCTTCTCCGTCTCCTCTGGGAGCAATTTACTTCTCGTCAGCAGTATGTTGGAATCGACATTTGCAGCTGCTCGGCTGGGCGGCGGAGTCAAGCCGAATCTCCTCTAGCCATGAATGAAAGACTTCTCCACCACCACAATGCACTTTGTCCAGAGCTTCCCAGAGATCGAGGGATTCTACAGTTTATTAATATGAATAAACCAATGGGTTTACGCATCCGATCTCTGTCTGTGCTGGCTTGTTTTGATTTTGTAGTATCACTGGAGGTCCCGCTGAAGCGTTTTGCAGCCCTGTGGGATCTTTTCCAAGAGAAATCTGGGAGGGTGGAGAAAAAAAAAAAAGCAGATTGTGAGGAGCTTGACCTATTTTCTCAAGGTTTAGGGTTGTTATAGCTCAGCTGAAGATGCACAGGGAAAAAGTGTGTGTGTGTGGAGGGAGGCGGAGGTGTCAGCGGGGTGAAGGCAGGGCTGTGAGCTGTGATAATAGGGTGGTCTCCGCTACTGGCAGCGCTGATAGAATTGGCTGTAGGGTTGACTTGGTATAGATTGAGTCACTCTCACCTCCACTGCTGCTAAGCTCTCATCTGTCGCCTGGTGTCACCGCTGCTGAAGCCTGTCTATTCACCTTCATCCTGATATGACAGCTGAGGGAAGCCTGGAGTATGGAGTGTCTTAAAGGACCGCAGAGGATGGCATCAACAAACATATGAAAAATCTGACCAAAATGGAGGCAAAAAGTGGTCGTGAAGCTTCCCCTGTGCTTCACTTATTAGCTGTTTGACTGTTTATATGGATTGGATGCTTTAAAACAAATATATTATTTTGCAAAGTAATACATTTAAATGAGTGAAAGGTAGCTTTTAGGTAGATTGACCAAACCAAATCACCTCAATTCCTCTAGCATCTGAAGATGAATGCTACAGCTTCTCTCTCCAGCAGGCTAGTTTGGCTAACTAGTTTTTTGCTCGACTATATCTGGTTTAGGTCCATTTAGCTAAATAGCAAAGTATGTTTTGCTAAATGTTGCTTCCTGAAATTGAGAGATGACCTGTAAGTAAATTTAAATATGGCTTTACAGCAGCTACCATGTCCGTAGACTGTATATAGCGACACTGAACCCATTGTTTTGTGAACTGTGACTTTGAGGAGTTTGACACTACGGCTGTCACCGTTTTGTCTTTTTAGACTAGAGGGCGCCATACTAAGATAGGAGGGTGTATCTGGGGGAGACAGTAAATGCTAAGGTATCACCTAACGCAGGGGTGTCGAACTCTGGTCCTCGAGGGCCGCGATCCTGTAAGTTTTAGATGTTTCCCTTCTTCCAGCACACCTGATTCAAATGCTCAGCTCATCATCAAGCTCTGCAGAAGGCTGATAATGATCCTGATCATTTGAATCAAGAGGGAAACATCTAAAACTTGCAGGATTGCGGCCCTCGAGGACCAGGATTCGACACCCCTGACCTAACGCTAGCGCAATCGAGCTAGCAAGCTTAAAAAGGTACATCTTTTGGCTAGTGGAAAAACAGGCTGAAAACAAAATCCAATTCAGACATTGTTAACCCATCATAGTCCCATTATCAGCACATATAAGTGGCGTACATATTGGCCAGTGACCTCCTCCACCTTCCAGTAAGTGAGTTATTATTGATGCTGATCGTTGATAAACAGGAAGTAACCTTGAGAACGTCGCTGACCTTTTGCCGTTGTGGGATGAGTGTTTGTTAAATACCAAATGGAGGTTTGTAACATGATTAAAGCAGCAACAGCTCCATTTTAACCTAATTCAAAATGTAATCAAGTAGTTTTGGTGCCTTAACCAAAAATTTAAGCTCTCCTGGTAAAAGTTTGCTCATTTATTCATCTTCCAAATTCAGACTTCTGTTCCTCTTTGCTTGTGCAAAATCGTAGCTACACCACCAAAAAAAATGAGGTGATGATGTTCTGCTGAACCTACTGGAACGTGCTAAAGGGCTCAACTAGTGCAAATTATATAAAAACCATTTAATGGGGTGATAACATTCGGAACTTTTATTACAACTCAACACTGAAAAATAAATTTTTAGGAATCCAAAAGGCTGCTAAAACAGAAACATGAACTGAAAACACAATTGGGATCCACTTTATAAGACTAAAAACACAGATAATGTCTTAAAGCAAATGTGGAAAATAAGTCATAATTAACAACTTATTATACTTTGACCAGAATTACCATCTCAGATGTGCCAGATTACGGAGTTCTTTTCCAGAGGTTCAGTTCTTTCAGAGCTATAAATAAAGCGTTGCAATTTTTAGTTCCCAGCTTTAAAGGCTTGGTATTGTTTTTTAAAGCCTGTCACGGTGGAAAAATGCAGAATATAAGAACAATGGTGCACTAAAAACAGTAAAGTATGTTTTTACTGCACAATCAGAAGCTGCTGAATTCCTCATTTTTCCAGACAGAATACTGAGTATCTAACCTCACTGTCCTTAACAGGGGCTGTGACCCTGAAGAAAATGCTCACCTTATGTACTGAATGTTTGTTTTTTTATCTTATTAATATTACAAACTCTTGTCTTTCAGGGAAAGAAAGGTGAAGCTGGACTTCCTGGAGTGGACGGCCTGCCTGGACCTCCCGTAAGAACAAGTTTCTTTTCCTAACATGCAAAATGTTCCTGTTTGTTTTTTTTCCCACAAGATATCTGAAGTTAAAAAAACAGGTTTCAATTCAAGAATATATCCACAGAATAACAATGGATGTACAGACAATGTTCAGTCCACACCAGGATCTACAATGTTCTTTAAAATAATAATGTGCTAACAGTTCGCTCTTGTTTATTTTGTATGATCATTTTTTGGTAATATACATGAAAATGGAAGAGTTTTGCAGAGTAACATGAATTTAAATTCCTGATTCTCAGGCCAGAATAAGAAATTCTAAATCAGCATTAAGCACTCAAATTTCATACAATCCATCTGTCCTTATTAAACAGTTTTATGCATATTTTAATACATTTTTGTGGCTTTGTATGTTGCGTACTCAGCAAAGCTGTGTCGCAGCAATACGTTTTACATAAATGTTAAATCTTTCTGAAATCATAATCAAAATTCAGGCTTGACTCTGTCGTCATATTCTGCCTAATAAATAAATACCTTTTTAATTGGGGGAAATTTCAGCAATTCAGATATTCAGTAATGCTTATAAAGGGGCTGCAAGAAGGTCGCCGGTTCGCATCGCGGTGGGGGAACCCGGATCTTTCTGTGTGGAGTTTGCATGTTCTCCCCGTGTAGCGTGGGTTCTCTCTGGGTTCTCCGGCTTCCTCCCACAAATCCAAAAAAAGTTAATTGGTGATTGTAAATTGTCTGTAGGTGTGAATGTGAGTGTGCTTGGTTGTCTGTCTCTAAGTGTAGCCCTGTGATGGACTGGTTACTTGTCCAGGGTGTCCCCTTAAGTCAGCTGGGATAGGCTTCAGCCCCCCCACGACCCTAATGAGAATTAAGTGGTGTATAGATAGTGGATGGATGGATGGATGGATAGATGGAATAATGCCTATAAAAGTAGTAGTGGCCTTCAATTTCATCAGCAACCATCTTTTTTTTTTTTTTTTCTCGCATCACGGCCCTCTATTGGACAGGAGGTGGTAATGGCTAATAAATGTAAGGCAGATTAACCAGGTGAGCAAAGCTGGAGCTCAAAATACTGCAATGGATCACTTTG